GGCGTCCGGGGCTTGTCCTGCTGCGGCCGGCTGTGCCAGGCTGCTCTGCCCCCCTGCGGTTCGGGGTCGGTGGTCGGGGCTAGTTAGAGCATGTTTCTTCTATTCTTCCTTTAATGTATGGTCGCTCTTGCCCTCTCTGAATAGGAGAGGAAGGTACTTTTTTTTTTTTCAGGATGAGAGAACCAGACAGAAGGCCGTGGTGAAATGTTATGAATTTGCCAGTCAGACAGTGCTGGGACTCTGCATTGCCCAGGTAGAGGCTAGCTGGCAAACAGGCCTGGAGCAGTCCAGCATTATCTGATGTGGTCCTCCCCAGCTGACAAATGCTGGGAAGTGCCCTAAAACGGAGCGAGACGTTGCTGTTCAACAGTGATGTGCTGATGTGTACACTAATCGTATTCCTAAAATACACTTACCCTTTGTCAAACACACTTTGAAACTCTTGCAGACAGTAGTGTGTCCTGGGAAAATCCTTTTGGAATTAGATGATAGAGATAATGGTTGACATACTGTTCTCTCATTGCTTGTGGGAAGCAGCATCCTGACTTGGCCCTTGCCTCGTGCTGGATTGGTACTTCTGGGAAGCGCTGTGTTCTTGGAGTCTCATTTATGGAAAATGATACATTTTTAAAACTTGACCGCATTAATATTCTGTAAGATAGCTCGCTAAGTGCATGGTGTGTGAAAAAGATACAGAGAAACAGTAATTAACTGAGATGGTAGGGACAATATTCTCATAATAATGTTATTGACCTTTCATTGTCATTCAAAGCTTACTTTCTCTTTCATGACTTGTTTTTCTTTTTTTTTAAGCAGTGTCCTCTGGGCCAAGAAGTTTCTGCTCCTCTTGAAGCTGTACTGCCTGTGTCCTCAGAGTTCTGTGTCTCTTCACTGCCTGCAGCGCAGCACCTTGCTGGGCCCCCGGCAGGCCTTCCACCCCTTCCCGGGGTCACTGTGGAAGGACCATGGCAGACACCGGGGAGGGGAAGAAGGAGGAAGCTGATTATAAAAGGCTTCACAGCTTTCCACTGATTAGGGTAAGAGGAGGGATGGGTTGCATGTTTACCACTGTTAAAATACACATATGAAATTCTGTTTCATTCCTGCCAACCTCCCAAACTACAGTGTCTCCCACTGCCAAGCTGCTGTGAGAATGCAAGCATGTACTGATAGTCATGTGTAGGGTTCCCAGTCATCACACCACTTTTTCCCTGTCCTTGACTTCTGGCAAGCAAATTTATTAGCACTATTGTTCCTTCTGTCAGCCAGAGGAAGCCCGGGGCAAAGTAGCTTTTCTGTGATCCATCTCCTTCTGGACTGAACGTGCTGCCTTTGGAGCCCTCCTTTGTGTTCAGGATACTACATGCAGCTTGTTTTTTTTAGAGGAGCTAGAGGAAAAGATTTTGTTAGCCCATCAGATAGCAGAAGAGGAGGAGAAGGCTATGTAATTTAGACTTCTTTGTTATGCTTATAGCAATAATTAAGGACTATGGTTGGAGTAGTATTAACATTCATTCCCTTCATCTTATAACAGAAAAACTAACAAATGTGTTTATCTCTTCCTTTAAGCTGCGCTTACTTAATGCTAGTCTTGGTGTTAGGTAGAGAACAGTTCAGCTGGGACAAAGGAAAGGATGGATAAATTGTGAGGTAATAAGCCTTTTTCATGTTTACTACTCTCTCTGAAACAGTGGAGATGCTTGGTGTACTGACAAGCTCGTGTCACTAGCGATGCTCTCCCCTCTGAAGCTGACGTTAGAAGTCACGTGGGCTAGTTTCCTTTTGCTCACGCCCCATAGTACCCAGCTATAGCATGGGTGATGTAAGGGCTACCTACTGTTCTGTGTTGCGTCTGGTTTTTATTTTGGCTTAGCTCCTTCTGCTTGTTTGCTCTTTCCAGCACACGGACATGCCAGAGGAGATGCGTGTGGAAGCCATGGAGCTGTGTGTCACGGCCTGTGAGAAATATGCCACCAACAATGAGGTACTAGCCAAATCCCAATTCAGCTGGCCTTCAGACACTGCGGCACCAGCTTGGGGAATCTTCAGGAGCAGAGCTAGGGTGTAGGGCGTGATGGAGTCAGACACTGTCCTCCTATTACTCTGTGCACTGAGCAGGGCAGAAGACAAAGACAGCTTGGCTGGAGTCTCACGTTTGGTTCCCTTTGTCAGCAAGGTCTGTAATAGCATGTTGCTTTAGCGCAGGGAATGGAGGTTAGTCACTTAACAATGTTCTCTCACAAACCTCACCTTCTTCCTGATCCTGCCTGACTTATGACATGCTTCTATGGTTTTTAAAATGCCCTCTGTCCTGAGGGCTTGGTGCAGAACTGTGTGAAGAAGGGCCCTTCCCAAAGCATGGGTCTGTTCTTCAGGATTCAGCAGGGCAGAAGTTAATGGCATTTTGAAAGATTACCTGTAAATGTGAGAACTGAAGATAAAGGAACACACGCCTTGCTCCTTGGGCAAGGCACAGCCTGCTTGTTGCCAGAGGAGCTCTGTGCTGGAACAAGACAAAGCTATAAAGCTTTGCTTTATTCCTCTGTCCCATCCTGGCTGAGACACCATATGTTGCTGCAAATATCTTCCTCTTTCATTTTCTAGCTCACGCAGGGTGTGATTTGGGAGAAGCAGCCCCTTTAAAAGCCGGCCTAGTTTCAGTGTTTTGGTAACTAGCTGAAAAAAAACATGAACTCCTGTAAAAATAGCTGCAGCTTAGTGACCTGAATCTCCTCTCATACTTGCTGCACCCAGCATAACTCCATCACCATCGAAGAGTGAACTCTTGCTTCAGACTGGTGTGAATGAGAAGTGATTACTAGATCTAGATCTTTAATTTCTCTTGCTTGCTGTGTTGGAGGCTGCTGAAAACACAATAACTTGTTTAACCCTTCAGCGTAGCTCTAGGGAGCTTCCAGTTCCTGCAGTGCTGCTGCCATACCTATTGCCTATGGCTTGAGTAGCCCATTAAAGGGAGAAGAGTTGGGGGATTTTTACATAAAAGCTCACTGCTTGCTCTGCCTCATCCTATACTCTCCTTATTATTCTTCAGAGTGCTGCCAAGATGATCAAAGAGATGATGGACAAGAAATTTGGGTCCTCCTGGCATGTGGTGATTGGGGAAGGTTTTGGCTTTGAGATCACTCACGAGGTGAAGAATCTGCTATACATGTTCTTTGGTGGCAGCCTGGCTGTATGTGTCTGGAAGTGCTCATGACATCTGGCTGGGTCCCAGACTCACTGCATACAAGAGATTCTTCTTTCTCGTCACAGGTTTTGTACAGTCTGGAGGTGGGGCTTTATTTTTAATAGTAAAACTTAGAGATTTTTTTCATACTGACATATCAGTCCCATGGGATACATATCGTGTGTGTATGCGTATGTGCTAAGCTATCCTGTCCTTGTCCAGGGAATATCTCATCTGGTTGTGGCTCTTCCCTTGGTAGTTGAGTCTAAGCACGAAGGAGGTGGTAAATAGGTAACTCATGAGACACTACAAAGCCATTCAGCAGCACTAGGAGGGGGAGGCGAAAGAGAAAAGGTGCTATCTAGCCCTGTGTTTTTCCTCCCACTTGTTCTACGTTGTTTTCTCTGCCTTCCCCACTACTGCATGGTATGGCTCTGACCGATGTCTCTCTCTCCTCTGAATGGCAATGTTAACAGCATTTTCTTCCTCCTAAGATAACCGTAGAAAACTGGTTGTGTCAAGGATCTCCCTTTGGGTTGTCCATGGAGGTGTTAGTTACAGGGAAGCAGACTTAGTGTACCCCTCCCTGCTTGCTTTGGGAAGGTGCGACAGCTGAGCTGCCTGGGTGTAGGAGGTTGCTATGCAAACTACCCCCTCTTTTCTCACCCACTGCACGCTCAGATAACATTAAAACACAGGCAGTCGATGATGTATGGGGAGTGGGTGAGAACTCTTCACAAGGCTTGAATGCCTCTCTGTCAGTTTTTGGGGGTGTCATGTGAGATATCACTTGGTCATCAGAGACTTCGTGTCTTTTTCGACTTGTGTTCTTTCAGCCTGTTTCGTTTTTTAAAGCTGTCAGTGCTGGAGGATGGGATGAACGTAATTGTATTTTACGTGTATGGCTTATTTATATAAATCTGGGGAACTGTGTTTTTACAATAAAAAATAGTAAAATGTCCTTTTTTGTGTTTGTCATATTCTAAAATGAAACGAGGTGGGGGACACAGAGGAAAAGAAAAGGTAATTCATTCAAGAAACATTGGAATAAGTAAGCACTGGCTGTTGCTCAGGCGAAGGCTGGCGACAAGCTCTCACCCCACATGCTGCTTCCTGGGCAACTCCTGGATACAAGAGAAGTACTTTCATCCTCCCTGTGCAGTTCATTTCACCTGCGCAAGCCATGATGCTTAGGACGTTTGCCAGGTCAATGGTGCTGCTGACCAAAGTCCTCTGTCCACACATCCGTCTGAGTAGTGGCAAGGGAGGGTACCTGTGTGCTCTGCCCAGCCAGTGTGCCTCATCTGCCCTTTGGGGTCTGGCATTTGTAGCTTCGATTTTCAGACTTTCTTCTGCCACCAAGCAGTACCATTGGCAGTTCCTGTTTTATGGGAGGCCCCACGCTTGTCCACAGTTCAGTTCCTGTGGACCACTTCTATATTACTGCCTGCAGTGGATCAGACTGGTAGAGGGGATAACGATTCTTTTTGTTCCTTCTCCTAAGCTCAGTGTGATGCTAGAGATATCCTTTCTTCATTCTTTGGAAAGCAGTCAGCATGTCTGGAAGCCATGGAATTGAATAATATGAAGATGACTAGAAATGATTTCAAATTTGGACCATCTGTGCTGGCTGGGCCCTGTGTCCTCTCACATAATTCCTTACTGATCACGTAGGAAGGGACTTGCAAGGTAGGGAGGAGACACTAACTGGAATCATAATGTATCTGGAACCAGGATATCTGCCCTGTGCAATGGACCATGGTGCCAGTATTGTCGTGTGGTGTAGAGGAGGGCAAATTCTGAGAGCTCTCTTTTTTTTCCTGTAACCCTTGATGATTGCTTTGTTGTCTCACTCCAACTGGCTGCCTTTAAAATGAAGGTAGCACTGTTGACTAGCACTTGCTGCAGTTGGCAGGGGGAGAAACTGGTTTTCTGTTCTAAGACTTTCCTCTATGTTTTATGCTCCTAGGTCCAGAGTGCAAGGTAAAGCCAGTGTCTTTGAAATGCTCTGCACTGGAGCATGATGATGATCTTCAGCAATTCCATAGCCTCTTTAATCACACTTCTTTCACGCTAATGAATAATTAACTGCTGTGTGCATATGCAAAGGCATGCTGGTCACAGGCATCTCTGCAGGGTCATGCTGACCTGCAGGTGATATAGGGAGAGCGAGCTGCTTACCTCAACATGCAATCTTTTGGCCCCACTGCCAGCCTGTTATCTGTTTGGCTGCCAGCTGAGCAAAACTAATGTCTCTGTGACCTGCATCTGCATTGGGCAAATGTTGGCTGGCTCTCAGCTTTCTCGAAGTATGCGCATGCAAACAAACTGAGGTGAGCTAGGTGTGAATTTGCAGCAAGTCAGCTGTTCCACCGTGACTCCTCAAAGGTAAGCGTAAGGTGGTTCATAGAAGTGTGACAAGCTATTTCTATTTCCAAGGGCAATAGCTTTCACACAAGAGGTCACCACAGAAGAACCAACCCATCTTAGCTGGTTCATATGCCTGTCCTGTCCTGTCCTGTCCTGTCATTTGTGCTGTATGGCAAACGTATAAACCTCAGCTTCCCAAAATTCACTATGTAAGTCAGGGCCCCTGCTGTCAAGCAAGTATTCAGTAAGGTCAGTGTTACTGCCCTTTGCAAGTTGAGTCATGCTGTGCTGCCCCTACATATTAAAGTGACTGTCACCCTCCTTTCATTGTGGAAGGGGTAAACTTCAAGGCATGTCTGCAATTCACAGTGAAATACAGTACACAGATCAGAGACGGTCTCTTGTCTTGCCATGTTTTCCGGCAAGCATCCCCTCTGCAGCTAATGCTTTGGGGCCTGTGGTGCCTTTTTGCTTTTGTCTGTGAAACAGTCAAAAGTGCAGTCTTTTCCACAGCTTGCTAGTTTTTACCTTACGTATTTTCAGCAAAAAGCTAGGGGAGCTGGCAACAGGTGTCTTTTTATTTTTTTCTTCTTATTATATTATATTATTTTTTGCCACCTGCGTATTGCTGCCGTTACTCATCAAAGCACCAGCCTGAGTCAGATGCGGAAAAGGAGATGGAAATCTTAGGGTGGTGCATTGGTGCCAGCCAGAATGACCCTTCCTTTCCGTCCATCCCAGAAAACTGCAGTACTGGGGGACCAGCTCAGAGGGCTGTGCTTCGTGATGCCTTACCCCCCTGCTGAGGGGCGGATGGGCAGCATCATTATCAGATGTTGGACTGTGTGGCAGGGAGTCGTGATTCTGTGCCAGCAATGGAAGTGTCCCCGGAAGTACAGCTCCTCCTCCATCCCAAGAGTGACTCAGACCTGCCATGAAAGGGGAGAAGGAGCTAGAAAGATGGAGGAAGTGGGGGGAGATGGGAAGAAAGAGGTGACAATTCAACCGCTTCTCTGCGATGATGTCATGGCAACAAGGTACATTGCCATGCTGTCAGACAGTCAGGGCTGGCTTTGAAGCTCTCTGTCTCCTTCCTGTCGCTGTAGGCCCGCACCTGACTCGCTGAAAAATCTTATGGTTAATTTTTAATGCTGGCATTGAAGTGGTAAGGGTGGCGAGTGCCCCACCTATTCCCTCTTCCTCTGCTTTCCAGCGTGATGCTAAATCAGTGCTGGGGCAAGGATTATGAAACTGCTTAGATGGGAATCCTGGTCAGAAGGGTGGCTTCAACCCATGCGGTGGAGATAAGACTGGGGGGTTCTCTGGGGTGGACTTCCCAAGCACACAGCAGCCCTGGGGCAAGGAGGGAGGCCATCTCCCTCACAGGCCTGTCCTGGTCAGGCTTTAGGATATGGGAGAGAGGTTTCTCTCCCCGCTTTCTCCCAAGCCCGCTTTGGAGCCAGTTCTGGGGTGCTGGAAAGAGAGCGCTCTCCCTCTCCCCCTCTCTGTCCCCAAGCTGGCTCCGGAATAAAGAAATCTGTGGCCCTGCTCCCAAAACTGAGCGCCTGGCTCCTTTGATGCAAGCGGTTAGCACATGTTATCGTTAAGCAATGACCTAACAATTCTGTGTACCAGCCACAGGCCCTCCGAGGCACCGTGTTTCCAAAAAGCACATCCGGCTTGAATCCAGCAAGCCTCCCCGTGGAAGACGCTGTGTTCCCTTCCCTGTGGAAGCCATCTGCTCCCTTCCACCCGGCTCCGTCTGCAGGGCCGCGCGATCGCCTGCCGCGCTGGAAAGCTCTCCTCCTCCGAGCACCGCCTGCAGTCAGGGAGGGAACGCGTTTACCCTCAGATGAGAGGACGGGACGGGTTGGGTTACTATCAGCCGTGCTGTTAGCGCAACATGAGGCGAAGGAAATAACAGCGTCGGCTGAATCTGGGGCGGCTGATAGTGTCAGCCGGAGGCGGTTACCAGGCAACTGTCGCGCACCGTGGGACACGGCAAGCCGGGAACGCGGTGTTCTTGCCATGCCTGCCCGGTGCGCGCGCGCGCACGCACGTGGGAGGGGGCCCAGCGTGTCGTGGAGCGGGCAGGGAGAGGGTGGCACGAACAGGAGCGTGGCGCGGGACCAGAGGAGGGGGGTCTCCAGTGTACCCCCTCCTGCTGGCCAGTCCTCCTACACCCTTCCTCGCTTGCCTCCCGGTACGCAGCATGGGTTTCCTGACAGGCAGGATTTCACATTCCCCCTGCGTCCTTCTCATACCTGAGAAACCAACAAGAGAAAAACGTTACCTCCACCTTTGTATCCAAGGTCCCCAGGCTTGTCCGAGTCCAGGCTTGTTGCATTGACCCTGTGGTCCTACACTTCTTTATCCCTTCACAAATCTGATTCTCCCTCCTTTCCCGGTCACCTGCTGTTTTTACCCGGGCAACCCAGCTCTGTGTCCCTGTATCTCACTGGAAAGGTGATTTACTTGTAAAAATGAGCTAACATTCCCTTCCAAAAGCTGCCAGTCCTCCCCAGCGATCCCGTTTGAGGTCTATGTATGGCCCCACTTGCTTTCCTGCTCCTGATTCGTGCTTGCCCCACTTCTTACAGTGGGAAACTCAGCAGCAGTAAAGCGGCTTGAGTGGCAGGTACAGGGTAAATGCTTCACATGCCAGCTTTCCCAGCGCCTGTGTCCAGCCCTGCAGCGCTGCCTCGATGTCTCCAGCGTCAGGTCCTGCTCCCAGCTCTGCTGCTGCGCCTCCATCCCCAAGCATCCCCAAGGCAGCCAGGCAGCCTCCCTGCTCCTGCCTGCCGGGCTCCTCTCGCCCACTTCAGAGGTCCCTTAGAGCAGTCCAACTCGGGCACCTCACCCCAACGGGCAGCTGCCAACCCGGCTTTTCCCTCCGAGCCATGTCGGTCCTCAAGGGCCGTTTGTTTATGCAGGCTGAGTGGCGTTTGAAAGGGGGCTGTGTACAAGCTACCTTGTATAGCTAGAGGGGATGGTAACACCAATCTAGCTGAGCGGTGGGAGCAGAAGTCTCTCCTGGGTTACAACTGTGCAGACAGAAACGCGGTGGAGCCTAGCTGGCGTGTTGAGCATGGGGAGGGGCGCAGAGGTGTTTGAGGAGGGGGCAGAAACAGAGTTTGCTTCGGGCTGCGTAGTACTGGGCAGGATGCATGTCGGAGAGCAGGGCAGAACTGGTTTTGGGCCTTTATGTCCAGAAATGTCCTGTGGACCTATCTGGGTGAGCGCACAGAGGGATGGGGCAGTGCAGGGGACCCAGGGGTTTTCCGGTGCACAGGTTATCTGTGCCATCCCTGTCACCAGGCCACTTGCTGCTATCGATTTGGAACTTGCCCCGTTCACTTTAACCTTGGCACCACCAGCTCATCCCTTATCAGTGCCAATAAACCCCGCTGCAATGTCCCATCCGCTCCCTGTCCTGCTGCTGGCCCAGCAGCGTCACTCCAAAAGGCATCGTGGAGACAGTTTTTTTTCCTCCTGCAATTCAGCCTGCCAGCTCCTTCGCATCTGTCGGGTTTTGCTGCTATGGTCTAAATCCAGGACACCTCTTTTCTCTTTTTGCTTGGAGGAGAGACAAGGCTCCACTGACTCTCTTCTAGCCACGCATCGGTGCCTGCCCCTTTCTCAGGAAAGGAAGAATGCGGCGCCAGCTACAGACACTTTTCCAAAGGAAGTTTAAAATTGGCCTCTTCTTTCTCCTGCTCTTGGCCTTCCTGATACACCTGGCAATGGATTTGGCTCTCCCTTCCACTCGCAGGTCCTGCAGCTGTGATCCAAAAGCAGCAAAAGCCTTGGGCCTCCCAGCAGGTAGCCCGTTGGTGGCCGGCCCCAAAAAGCTGAGCCTGCGAATCCTTCAGGATTTCAGTGGCAGCAACGGCTCCCTGGAGAAAAGCTCCCACCCACAGGGAGTGGGGCTGCAAGTAAAGGACAGAGACTGGGGGATCCAGCACCAGCACGGAGATGTGAATCCAGGGAGGACCAAGAGATCAAAACTGGCCGCACTCTTTGAGCATCCTCTTTATAAGATCCCAATCCCAGAGGTCACAGACAGAGACAAGCTGTTTGTCGTCAACCCCATGGAGAAGTTCAGCCTGAGAAGCAGTGGGAGTGATGAATGGTGAGGTGCTAGCTGCCCCCTTGTATTTTTCTGGGGAATATGTGACAGGATTTGAGGTGAGGGGACAAATGGCAGGGACCAAATAAGTCATTTGCTTGCATAGTTTAGCAGGGAGTCCCTCCCTGGACTGGCCCTAATTGCTGACGGATCTGGTCTTGTGCCTCAAATCCTATATCAGCCCTGAGTTTCCAGGATGCTACCTTGGAAAGCTGCAGGGGAGCCTGTTTGTCCATGTAGCACGAGATGAAGTCAAAGGAGAATCCTGAGTTATTCATTATGTTATGTATGGTATCTTTTCGGCCATCTCCTCCTCTCCTTTCCTTCCCAAATGCAAAGGCTATAGCCTTTAGTCTCTCTCTGTATGGGATACTCTCCGGATTTCTAACCAGTGTTATCCTTCTCTCCTAACCATCTCATGCTGGAAATGCAAAACCCAAAATGTAGGTTACCTCTAAGCATGAGATCATTTCTGCCCTGCATTTCACAGGACACTTCCTGACCTCTTTAGGCTTTGCCGTGTGGTGATCTCGCTGTTGATGGGTGCCTATTTTTGTCACTGTACTACTAACCTCTAATAAGGAGGGAACACATTAAAAGAGTTATTGTTGATAATGAGTAGCAGCTTCCTTATGGAAAGTACACCTACAAAACATGGTAGCCGCTAAAAATGAGAGAGACTAAAATACATCAGAGTTGTTTACCACAAACGGGCATTTGCTCTGTCTCAGAGGACCACCTTGCCTGTAAATTATTGTCGGAGATGGGTCTGCTTTGTTGAAATTAGGGCATAATTTGCATTCTCCCAGAGAGAGACACGGTTTGAGTTACACATGCCCTGGGCTGGCCTGTGTGTTTGCAATGCCGGTAGGGCACCGGCACAGAAGGAGCTGGATACCCTGTTGCAGCCTCTGGGAACTCCCTCTGAACGCAAGGAAAATGCAAATTTGCAGGAGGCACAGGGAAGGGGATAGCAATAACTTGAACTCATCCCCCCAGGGAAACCAGGGGTGTTTGGTATTTGATAAATCCATCAAAGGTGAATTGGATGCTGAGCATCAGAGCTCAGGTTGGGGCCAAGAAATGGCTAGGACGCCCCTGCTTTTCTAATGCTGTTTTACAAATGAGAGTGTGTTCCTGTCAGGCGTGTGTGTACTCCTGGGCCCTGATCCCTTTGGGAAATGCAACTAGACTAGCTGCCCTGCTAGGGAAATAAATGGGAGGCTGGGAGGAGAGCGAGCAGCCTGAAACCTTTCTGCAGGGGACGCGAGGGAAGCCTTGGCAATGGTTCCCAAGCCCTGTCCCACAGTGCCTCTCCAGCCAGCTGGCAGGGCTCGCGGCCATCGGTGCGGTCTGCCCTGAAACACCATCTGCCACCAGGAGCCGCAAGGAACATCTAGTGGAAGTCAGGCCTCAGGGCAGGGGGACTTTCACCACGGCCGAGGGCTGGTGCTGGGTTTCCCCAGCCCTTTCC